CCAACCAGGAGCAGCCCAGCCAGGCATCCGGCCCAGCCAGGCAGCTGCCCAACAGCCTGTACACGCACGTGATGCATGTGATTTTTGTGCATTTCGGCCATTTTGGTGATTTTCGGTGAATTTCTGTGATATTGGTGCATTTCGATGTTGTGATACTCATGACAATGTTTGGTTTTTTCTTATTTTTTTTTTCTCTAAAGTTTTGCAAGGTTCAAAGGGAAGGCCCGTTAACAAGGAATGAAATCGATCAATGAAGTTTGCGACATGTGGGCTTTTTCCCACACATTTGATGGCATGTAGAATTGCCGTAATGGTTATATTGGTTTGTTAGCTTGACTTTATTAATTACTTATTATTGTCAACATTATTTTAATTAAGTATGTATTAGTATGTACGTAGTATTTCTAATTGTAATCTTAATATATTTTAGTGTAATTAAATATTGTTGTTCATTAAATATATTAATGATGTTACTTTATATATATATAATTATTTCGTGTTATATATATTATTGTATTATTTTGTAACTAATATTAATATTATTATTAATTAATAATATTAATTTTATTATTAATTAATAATAATAAATTTATATCGATTAATAATATTATTTTATTATTAATTAAAAATACTGAAATTATTGTGAAAGGTCACTAGTAATATTATTATATTAATATTATTAGTAATAAATTATAAAAAATAAAAAATAAAAAATAAAATAAAAAAAACTACAATTGGAAGCGGTTTGGCGCTAAAACCGCTTCAAATTGTTGAATTTTTTTTTTTAAAAACTGGGAATTGGAAGCGGTTTGGCGCCAAAACCGCTTCCAATTGTAGAATTTTTTGTTTTTAAAAAATGGGAATTGGAAGCGGTTTGGCGCCAAACCGCTTCCAATTCTTCACTATTTGAAGCGGTTTGAACCGCTTCCAAATCTAACTGACAATGGCAAGCCCCCCAAACCGAACCGGTTCAAAACTGCTTCCAATTAGGGGGTTTGAACCGCTTCTAAATTAGTTTTTTTGTACTAGTGTCCACATCTTCCATGCAGTACACGCCCTCCCTTGTTTCTCAGATGCAAGATCAGATGGAAATCAGGGTGCAGGCTCTTCGGGAAGAAATGGAACTCGAGATGCAAGCCCGAGATCAAGCCTCAGTAAGAGCCCAAATGGAAGAAATGGGGAAGAGGTTGGAAGAGAGGATGATGAGTCGTTACCACAATGACCCTTGTTCCACCGTGCGACCTCCATTTCGAGATCCCAAGGACGACGACCCGGGTAGTGGTGGAGCAGGCCAGGGCACTCCCGCAGTTGCTTAGCTTTAATTAACGTAGTGTTTATTAGTACTAATTTTAGATTACATTACTTGGCTGTACAGATTGGAATTAGTATATATATATATATATAAAATTATTTTTGCACAAAAACCATTAATTTTATTCTGTCGTTAGTATAAGAAGAAGGAAGTACAGGTATTAAAGGGTAGCAATGTGCCGTAGGAAAATAGTCAAACTCGAAATAGTTCCGTCATTATTTTCGTCGCAAAGTTCCTACGGAATAAAATCCGTCGCAATTGGTATAATTTTCCGACGGAATTTTCCGTCAGTAGTTTGCGACGGAAATATGTCCGTAGGAAGCTTGCGACGGAAATTTCCGTAGGAAAGTTGCCTGATTCCTACGGAAATGTCCGTCGGAAAGAGCTTAGCTTCCGACGGAATACTCCGTCGGAAGTATGGACCGTTCCGACGGAAGCTGAGAAACTTTCCGATGGATTATCGTCCATCGGAAGCTTGCGACGGACTTCCAAATTAGGTCAAACATAAGCTCCGAAAATTTAAAATCCGTCGGAAATTCTGTCGGTATGGTAATTTCCGACGGAAAATCCCTCGGTATTGGCCAAAATTCCTACGAAGTGAATTCCGACAACGGGTTCCGACGGAATTCCGTTGGAAACTGCCTTTTCCGACGGATTTAGAAGGTGTTCCGACGGATATTTTCCGTCGTAAATGAGGTGTTTTCTAGTAGTGATCCACAAGGGGGAACTCTTTAAGAAGGGCTACCTCCAGCTGCTGCTGAAATGTGTTACCCCGGAAAGGGGGAAAGAGGTTCTAGCGGATCTGCACTCGAGCTTTTGTGCATCACATATAGGCGGCAGAACTCTAGGAAAAAGGGTCAGGCGGCAAGGCTACTTTTGGCCCACTCTTGAGGCAGATGCCATGGAAATGGTGAAGAAGTGTGATAAATGTCAAAAATTCGGCAAACTCATACACCGTCCGGCTACTGATTTGACGGCTATCTACAACCCAGTGTCATTTTCCAAATGGGGCATGGAAAAGCACAACCAGAAATTTAAATCCAATTAGAAAGCACAACCAGAAATTTAAATCTATTTTATATCACCTTAATTAATTATTAGTCACAATAATTAAAGTGAGCGCGGAAACAATAGTGTTGTTGGGTTCCGTAGAGTCCGACTCTACGTGGAACGGAAACCCACCCAAGACCCGCACACTAACTAAAGCGACTAAGAATGCAATCACTAATTAAACAACAATTAAGATAGAGAAGAAAAGACATTCTTACCCTTGGTGCGTGCTTCGCTCGAATCCCGAGCTCTTACTTGAACCCCGCAAATACAAAGGTCTCCGACGGCTCGTACCCACGAACCCGACCCGAACGAACTAAGTCCCGAAGGTTAGTCGGGACCCGACCAATAAAAACTAGAGTTTTACGAACTTAAGGTTTTCTCACTTTTCTTAAGGAGATGCCTTTTTAGTTCCACTCAAGTGTTCTTCCCAAATCCCAAACCTTGGTATTTATAGGGAAATGAACCTTGAATTTCCATTCTTGATCAATGTGGGAGATTTTGCAATTTTCCCATTTTATTTTAATTAAAACAAAATTAAAATTGCAATGCAATCAATAAGTTACAAGTGGCAGATGGAGGAAGAGAGATTAGGTGAGGACCATTTCCAAGGGGGGGATCATAGCCTTGGTGCCTAAGGCAATGCCCACAACCCTTGGTCCCCACTTAGCAAACCGGCATCCCACCATGTAGCTCGCTGGCAGCCTGCCTTAGCTGCCAAGGCTGCCAGTTGGCGCCTAGCACCAAGGCTGGGCAGCCAGCCAGCACACACACGCACATAGCGCAGCCAACCAGCAAGGCTAGCACCCCACACGCACACCAGCCTACATGCGCAACTAGCCAGAGCATACGTGCTGCTAGCGAGCGACGCATGCTAGGCGCTGCTGCTATGCGAGGCAATACTATGTACCCCACACGCACAGTCTAGCATGCTGCTGGCTGGTGCATGGTGCTTGCAATGAGCAAGGCATAGATTTGCTGCCATGCGATGCCTAGCACGCATGCTGCGCAGCGATGCCTGGGGCTGGTGCGTGGCTGCGAGCAATGCTAGGCCATGCCTTGCGCCAGCGCCTAGCATGCAAGTAAGGCCTAGCCTTGCGATGCTTGGGCGCATGGCCTGCTAGCACACGCGCAAGGCTGCGATGCTTGCGGTGGCTAGCTAGCATGCATCGTCCTAGCACGCCTAGCATGCTAGTCTTGCTACTAGCATTGCGATGGGTCTTGCCTAGTCTAGAACTCACATGGCTAGGCCAATGCGAGGCTACGGCTAGGATCGTACTTGTATTTTGATTGATTTCGCGTCTGGTCGAATTCTAAATTTGACTCGACTTGGGATGCTCATCTAATCGTATGCCATTACATAAACAAATAATCGTTAAGTATCCTAAATAAATACAATGTAACTAATAATTACAAATATAAATTTAAACATTAGATTTTAAAAATTACCCGGACATTGATGACCTAAAACTAACACAAAATTCGCTTGATGGGCTTTTGTATTGATACGAAATTTTATTTGTGTCGTATGATGTGTTAGGTCTGCATGTAAAAAACATTTATTAAATAAAACATAAACATATAGTCGTTGAGTATCCCAAATTAATACAATATAAGTAATAATTAGAAATACTAATTTAAACATAGGATTTTAAAATGAAGCTAAAAATTACCGGCCATTGATGACCAAAAATTAACACAAAATTACTAACACAAAATTCGCTTGATGGAGTTTTTTTTATTGATACGAAATTTTGTTTGTGTCGTATGATGTGTCAATTTATAATGGTAGGTATCACAAATTTTAATTTAATCATAATTAACGAACAATTTGTATTTCTTATCATAAACACTATCAAAATTTATCTTATAATGATAGGTATCAAACTTTATTATAAGCGTTTATCATTTAAATATTTCTTAGTATATTTTTTTTTGGATTTTTTATGCTCGTAGTATTGAATTAATAAATTTATCTTTCTTATATTGTTACTTTATTTTTTTCATTAAAATAATTTAGTTCGATGATTATAATGTACGTGACATTAAAATTTTAGATATATCAAATCTAATTCGTTACTTTTATCTAGGTGGAGACATTATTTTTTAATTCAAAAATAAAATACAAATCTTTCTTCTTATTGGTCGAAATAAGTATATTTCTTACGTGGCGCTCAAAATACTCTCCAAAAATGCCTACTTTATATAGATATATCAAATCTAATTCGTTACTTTTATCTAGGTGGCGACATAATTTTTTAATTCAAAAATAAAATACAAATCTTTCTTCTTATTGGTCGAAATAAGTATATTTCTTACGTGACGCTCCATCTAATTCGTTACTTTTATCTAGGTGGCGACATAATTTTTTAATTCAAAAATAAATTACAAATCTTTCTTCTTATTGGTCGAAATAAGTATATTTCTTACGTGGCGTTCCGAATGCTCTCCAAAAATGTCTACTTTATTTATATAATAATATATTAGATTAGATTATTATTATTATTATTATTATTGATATTTAAAATATGTTTACTTAAAACCTTTATAAAGCCCACCTATCTCATAATTAGACGATCATATAAGGACCCGCCCCGTTTATTTATCACACGAATCTAACCTATATTATAATTTATAACTATGGCGGGTCATGGAAAGGCCTCTATTCCTATTTTCTACCTGTCTGAGTTATTTCATTGAAGCGCACTCAACGTTCTCCATTTTAGCGTTCTCCGTTGAATCTAATTCTTGTATCCCCCATTGAAGCAGCTTCTAATGTAAGTTGTTTGTTGTTGTTATCATCACATCAATTTCACAATCTAGGGTTTATATTTGATCTAATCTAATTTAATTACCAGTGCTTTAAGTTTAGGGTTCGTCAATTCTTAGATTATGAAACATCATATCCAAAAGGAAAGAAAATTATGAGCGTAATTTGATTATTGAATCAAATATCCCTAAAATTATGTATTTATCGAGATAATTCAATATGAAATTAAATCTCTTTTCTCTGGGCCTAGGGCGGCCGCCCCTCCTGCCCTGCCTCAGGGACGGGCCTGTTCTCCAGTTCTCCTATATGCTATTTGAATTGTAGTTGTGTTGAATACTTGAGTTGTTGATTACTTGATTTATAATTGCAATTTGATATGTTGTTTGTTAATTTATATGCTTGCTGACTGATGTATTCCGGAAGGACCTTGATGGTCTTATTTGATGTTGTCTGTTCTATATTAGTTGTTTCCCCTGAAGCTTTTATCTGTACTTTGTTAGTAGTTTCTTTTGGGGGTTATTTTGGTACTAGGGCAGCCATGTGCTTTCCGTATGTATTTCAGAAACAGTGCGCATATCTCAAGATATGCACCTGGGTGTTTAATCGGATTTTCTACGGGTAAATCCTAGTTATTTATTGGAGGAAAACAATCTCTATCCATGGTATTAGAAGTTCCTAGTTTGTTTGATTAGCCGCTTTTGTGTGTAGGGATATGGGGATAGAGAGAGAGCAGAGTAGCACATCCGAAGCCGAAAGAGAGGAAAAAAAGATTGTGATGCTGGCACTGAGCAACGAAGACTTGACTTCGGAAAGACTACAAGTATATCACACTCGTGCAGAATTTCACTCGGTGGATCTGAAGCACAATATATTAACTCGTTCTTGCTTTCCTTCAATTATCATGGCTAAGTTCTTATCATCTGCCATGGTGTCATCTTTGAATAAATTTATCTACTTAGTGGGAGTGGGAGGAGCGCGATCACCTGACGTCCAATCATCTGATGAGTCTTCCTCTTCCAACCACACATTCTACTCCGGCGGTTCATGTCTTGACATGTCTGATGAGGCTCCAGTGTGGTGTCCAGCTCCTGTCTTCGTTGAGGGTAACACTTCTCCCAACTATGTTAGCTTTCTTGGCAAAATTTACAACTTTGGATCTTTTTGCCTTGCGCCCCAGGTTCTTGACTGTGGTGCCCTTGGCCACTGTAAGTCAATTCGCTCTCTCCTTATCCCTCAAAGCCTTGCCGGTTGTAGTGTGTCTGTTCCTGTACTTCCCGACCCTTCCAACAAACGCATTCTTATGCGCCTCTATGGTGGTCCCCTTTCATCGCCTTCCCTCTATGCTTTCACTCCCGATCCTGATGCTGATGCTATTGGGACATGGGAATGTCTCACCTCTGATTTCCAACTTTGGGCTCATGCTGCTGCTGTTGTTAACGGGGTCATATATTTTCACTGCCATAGAGTTCCATCTCTTCTTTGTGCTTTTCATATAACCAAGAAAATATGGTTGAAAGTCTGGTGGGATTCGTGCTTTAAGGACAATGTTGATATGAATGTCGAAACTTTTAATTTCGATGCAATGCTTCATTTGGGCCACAATATTTTGTGCTTTGCTGGTTGGACACCCATATATCCCCGGCCTGCTGTTTTTACCCTCGAAGTCATCTTTTACAAGTTCCAAGTGCTGGTCACCGGTGAAACTGTAACCGTCAAGGTCTGTGACTCCTACTCATATGAACTTCCGGGAAGTACCAATGTGTTTCATTTCCTCCCCATTTAGCAGGTACTCTTCTCCATCTTACCATCTCTTATTCTTGCTATTATTCTGTTACTTACTATCAAGGTATTTTGTTGCCTCTTTTAATGTGGATTCGATTTACAATGCTAAATTTGTTCATCAACTTAGTTGAAAGAGGCATTGATGGATAAATTTTCATTCCCAAAAATTTGCACTAGTGATTAGTTTCCGAGTCTCGTTTCTTTTTGTTATTTGATAGCTCTACGAAGGAGTAGAGCTTTCATATTTAATTATGAAGTTCTTGATGGTGTTCGACTGTTTTCTAATGTGCTATTGCGTTCAAATCTCAGTGCCTCGTAGTCTAGAACCTGTGGTTGTTTGATGCTCTTTGATGTTTGGAGTGATTGTATATATTTCGACGGTACGTTAAAGGAAAACATAATGCAGAATTTATTAGACAAGTGTGAAAGATGTGAACCTGAAAAGAACACATGATGAAACGAAGTTTGAGTCTTTTTATAAAAGAATTCAAGATCACCAAAGATACGGCAAGCCTTAAACCAAATATAATAATCATTAGAATTTTCTCATAGATGTGCCAAGAAGCAATAGGAAATTTGTTGGAATGAATTGAAGTATAAACTTGGGTGTCAGGTGTAGGCCACTGGATGCTCCTGCATGATCAGCAAAACTCATGCAGATTGAACACTTCAAAAAAGCGCTCTTGCTTGTGGAGTGAAATTCAGCTGAATGAAAAACTGATATGTGATCTTAGTTTTAAAAGTGCGCGCGTAGGCGTGACACTGGGCGCAAGGTGCACTAGGGCGGAGGCATATACCCCTTTGAGAGGCTCAAAGGCGCAGGCTTTTTGGGCTTTTTTTTGTTTATTTTTCATTTTTTATCCTTTTGAGCCTAACCCACTAGAGGCGCACACCCCTCTTGCGCCTAGGTGCGCCTCTTGCCTTTTCAAACTAAGCATGTGATTAAGCTGAATTCTTTTAATTTCATATTCTCTCCACAGAGGAAGAGGTAGTTAATCTCTCTGCAAAGGTAGTTAATGGTTTCTGTAAGGTAAAAAGAAAAAAAAAGGGATATAGCCTCTTGAGTTCTAATGCATTGATGACTAGTTTAATTGCACTTTAGGGCCTTGTCACTTCTGTTAACTAGAGGTTTGAGATATTCCCACTTTAATACTATGAGTCCATGACCTATGAGGTACAATGGTTGAAATTCCATCTAATTTGATAATTTTATAGGTGCAAGTGTGTAACAAAGTGTGAGAATGAACTGTGAACACAATATTGGATTTTCATATAAATTTGCAAGAATTGCATTATTATGACGGTCTAAAACGCCTGTGATCTGGTTGAAATTTGCACTATATCCTTGTGTTGACCAAAGCAAATCACCAAAGTTCATGAATACCAAATTGGAAATAAACCAAACACCAGGGCACTAAATGGGAAATGCCAAATTGGAAATAAACCAAACACCAGGGCTCTAAATGGGAAATGCCAAAATGTTCATTTTCATGAATCAATTTGTTGAATACAATGCTCTAGCTTTCCTCATATAGAGATGTTCTTGAATATGTAAAACACATTTTTTCCCCCTTCCTCTATAAGTTTTTAGCTTGTGATTACTTCCTATGTAGGGTAAAACCTTATAATATATTAAGTGCTTATATTATGTTGATTCCTGGGATGTTAAATGTTAGATGAGCATTTAATAAGCAGTGTGTCTTGGTACTCATGCATTCCAGTTACCTAAGCTAGGAAGATGATAAAGTAGGTTTGCATCTACATTGACACCATATTTCTGAAATGCTTTTGTCTCTTTCTTATTTACTAGGAGGTTGTTTGGTTGCAACCTATTTCCCTTGGAAATACAATTTCCTAGGAAATAGATTGTGTTTGGTTGGCAAAAACATTGGAAATGAGAATTCCAAGGAAATGGAAATTCCTACGAAGGGGGAGTGATTGGGTGACCCTAAGGGTTGCCAACCCTCTCCATATTGAGTTTTCATTGGTGAATAAAGTATTAATTAAAACATTAATTTTATATAGCCCTCTTCCAATTTATTACACATATAATACTATTTTATTATATTATACTCCGTATCTAATTCATTTTCCTGTAGGAAATCATTAACCGACTCCCCCCTTGGTAAATGCAAATTCCTGTGTCAATTACAAATACCCATGCTCAACCAAACACACATACTTATTTCCTAGGAAATGGGAATTTATTTCCAATTGGAATTAACTTCCCATGGCATCCAAACGACACCTAGATTTCAATAAGCTTGGCGCTGCCATGTTTTCCTCTGTCAACGATGTATACCCGTGTGAATATTAGATTTTAGATTTGGATTGCTAAAATGTGTATATAGCTCTCAAGTAACTTTTCTAATCAGGGCACTGAATATAATATGTTCTAGGGACTGTAAAAGTACTGCTCCCTCTGTTCCACCTTAAGGTTTAGGGTCATTAAGGATCCACAATAAGGCAGAAGTGATTAACTTAATAATTGCAGCCTATCACAGATGATAGCCACCATGCCCGCCTCCGCAGATGCCACAACCACCCAGGTCAACCACTACCAAACGAGGATGATTTGTTGGAGAAAACATGAGGCTGGAGCAGAGAGCATGGGATAGGGAACAAATGGAGTGTAGTTAAGGAGAGAAACGTGAGATCTTGTGATAAGAGAGTGAAAGTTAGGATTAGTAAATAGACAACAGGTTAGTTTGTTAATATACTGTCAACACATGATAAAACTTGTCTTAAGGGGTAACTATGACTTCACATCCACGAGTGATTTCTAAATGTCCTGAATTCTGGTTTTTATTTTTCCTCTTTCATTTCATAGTTAAAAATTTGTGTAATTGGTGTATTGCATACACCGTGCTTTAGATGAGAACTTAAGGTTGGTGTCATTCATCTTCATCAAATGTTATATCCATTGATTATTGAGAACTTTTAGCTGTCGATAAATGGACACAAATCCTTGTACTGAGGAGGTTTTTTTCCGTACGATTTGTTTTTGTGTAGTATTTTCTTTGGAATGTCAATAACCACTAAACCCCAAATTATTTTGGGACTAAGGCTTTGTTGTTGGTTGTCAATAACCACTAAAATGATTATCACCAAAGTGCCATGCTGTGTTATTTGTGCGTAGCACTGATAGCAGCTGTAAAATGGTAAAATGGTATGCCGAGCTATTTAACATCTCAAGCCCTATGTTATTTGTTACACCTCAAACCCTATTGTTTCTCAATTTTTACCTTAAGGTGCTAGGTGTTTGGAATTTATTTTGAGCTTTGCTGCTTGTAGGCTTTGCCATGTTGCTTGGCTCATGTTGAAATTTGTTTGACGATTTTGTGGTTCTATGTTTAGTTGAGTACTTAAGTCAGAGTTGAGATGCATTCGTGCATAGCTGTGTAATGGTAAAAATTGGTGGTTGTTTCATGTTTAAGTCATGTAGATCTCTTCATTTTGTTTTTTTGGGTGCCAAATAGTATTTAATGAAAGCCATTTTGTGATGCTTCACAGATAGGATAGGACAACTCGTGTTTATAATCACTTTTCTAAAGTTATTTACTTGTGCTACATGCCTACATGATGTTGGATGCTTCTGCTACGCCTAGAAACTTGTTTAGGATAGTTGTGTTGTATTTAAGGCTTAGCTTCTTCAGATAATGGCAGTTGATGTTATGAATTATGAGTCCTATTGTCAAATATATAATATCAAGAAGAGCTGCTCGAATCATACTTGTATATTCTTTTTTGGTCTTTTATCACAGAGACATGATATTGAGGCAATTAATGACACGGGTTCCTCAATTATTTTTACTTTTCACAGGGTAGCTGCTGCTGAGGAAGAGTATGGCAATAGTGTTGGTCCTGAGGATGATTACTTGCTCCTATTGCTTGCACATCGTCATCCAATTTCGGATTCCGGATGTTTTGCCTTTTAGTCTTGTGATGACTGATGTCTGTTTTATAGTGTCGTATTTGGTTTACCAGTTTGTGGAAATACTTTAATTAGCTCTTTTATGTGAACTAAAAGCCTAAATATAAGGATGGTTGTTTATGATAAAAACCCTGATTCCAATGAACAACAATTTTCTAGTTTATTCAAAATAACATGTCCTTTGGTTTCTTGGGTTTCCCAATTTGCTCTTTCATCTAACAACCCCTCATTAATCCAAAGATGTATCAATCTTATTCTTTTCAGTTTCTAATGTTTTTGATATAATAAGCAGCGTAACTAAACTCCAATATTCGGAAAACATCACGTTTCATGTCAACTTGATCATGAGCAGATGTCAGCTCTATTAAAGCATTCCGCTCTTAAAACACCAACTTCAGTCAAACTCCAAGCCATTGTAGCAATTGCAAGTGGCAAACCACCACATTCTTCAGCAACTGATCTTGCTGATTCTTCAGTCGAACTGCAAGCCATTGTCTTATTATTTGGTCTACAAGGTCTGTAGAAGTAGTGATACACATTTTCCTTTTTCTTAGATTAATTATGTTGTGAGCTACTAATATTTTAGGTGTCAGTCTCTATGGTTCAATACTCTGCTTCATAGTTCAGACTTAAGTTTCTCATGCACATATCACATGAGGAGGGCTTGGGGTGATGATGGTGATGTTTTTAGCTGCAATGGACATTGCCATTATGCAACATATGATGACAACCACGCAGCAACTTGCTTATGCAGCAAAATCAATGAGCTAGAAGAGCTGGAGTAATTGCAAAACATTTGCGTTGATGAGCTAGAATGTGTTGCTGAGAATGAATTAATTTATGGAACTGTTTTTGGGTGATGGTGGTGTAATTTGTACTTCATTAGGGTAGACTGTAGACTTATTAAGTTGCTAGTTAATTCTCGAGTATTGCTCGGCTCTTCATCAATATCGCAAAAAGAACGATCTATTTACTCTGTATTCTATATGACATAGTAATTTTTATAGTAGTTTAAAGTCAAATTTGATAATTTCAATTATGGATGTAATTTCAAAAAAAAAAAAAAAAAAAAAGATAAAAAAAAACTCAAGAATTTTCCAAGAAAACCCTTTGTATCATCTTCTTTAACAACTTACTAAATTATACTTCCTCCGTATTACATGCAACAATGAGGGTTGCACAATTCCCAAAGCCATTTTTTTTAATAGTAACTCATTAAGAGATTTTTTTTTTTTTTTTAGTTTAATTAATCACTAGCCACCACCACACCAACTACCAAACACCAGCTACCACCACACCAACTTACAAGCACGTACTGACGAAACCGCCTACCACAACCACACCCCAGCCACCACCAACCATTGGAAACGTCAAAAAACCCCGTCAACAGTTTCGTTGCCACCAGAACCACTCCGCTACCACAATTCCAACCCACTCGACCACCATAGTACCACCCCAATCGACCGTCCAACTAACCCATTTTTCAATCGATCACCACTAATCCAACCCATTCACCACCACAATGTCACCCATTCAAACGCAATTTCACCACCATGTAGATCTACATTCGAACCCAATCCCATTTGAACCATGTAGATTTACATTCCACATTCGAACTCATTCCAACACAATCCCATTCGACCATCCAATTCGAACGCAATCCACCACCATTCAAACGATGGCGGTGGTGGGAAAAAGGCAAGTAGTGGTTGTGGAGGAGAGAGTGAAATGAGTTGTGGGGTTGGTATTAAGAATAATTTAGGGTATTTGGATAATATTAGGATTTATCTTTTCCTAGTTTATCTAGGTTACCTAGAGTTTATGATAAGGTAGGAAATCTCATTGATTGTATTATAAATAGTTTGGTTATTTGCTAATGAAAATCAAGTCAAAGTTTATTCATAAATCATATTTCTACATGGTATCAGGCCTAATTTTTTTCCTCTCCTAAACAATAGCTATGGCAGGCGGTGATGATCCACCACCTCCCAAAATTGAACCCAATTCTCCGTACTACCTCGGTTTGCAAGATCGACCAGGGGATTTTATTACCCCTACTCGTCTTACAACAGACAACTACAACTCTTGGGCTGCTGACATTCAAACAGCCCTAGAAGCTCGCCGAAAATTCAACTTTCTTGATGGCACAATTACCTCACCATCTCCCCCTTCTACCAAGTCCGATTGGACGACTATTAATGCTATGCTAATCTCATGGATTACCAACACCATTGATCCCAATTTAAAGCCTACTTTGTCCAAATTTAGGGAAGCAAAACCTCTATGGGACCATCTAAAGCACCGGTCTGCTCAAACTAATGGCCCTCGAATTCAACAACTTCGATCCTTGATTGCCCGTTGTGAATAATCAAACTCCATGACAATCTCTGAGTACTACGGCAGATTACACACTTTGTGGCAAGAATTGGAACGCCACGAACCCCTGATTTCGTGTTCTTGCTGTGGGTCGTGCACCGCCAGCAGGCTGCACGAAGACCGGCGTTCCCAGTCTCGGCTCCATGAGTTCCTGATGGGCCTGCGTTCAGATCTGTACTCGGCGTTGCGTACTCACATTCTATCACAAGATCCCCTTCCTTCTCTAGACCACGCCTACCAGTTGGTGGCTCAAGAGGAGCGAGTTCGCTCGGTCAAACTGGAGGC